CAGAAAGAGAAGCAGTCACATTTATACTTGTGTTCTTTGATGTTGTTGTTGTTAATTTTTTTTCCACATCTTTCTCTGGCTGAGAACAATTCTCTTCCAAGATTGTATTGACTCTGGCAGTTTCAGATGCCACAGTCTTCTGATCTTCACTCTCAGGGAAGAACTGAGGCACATCCGTCTTCCCATGACTTGAGAATTTTGGGAAGTGGCTCAAGCTTTCTTCTTCACTGTCTTTCTCCTCATCTTTTTCTTCTTGTATCACATTGCTGGTAAAGTGCACCGGTAAAGATGCATTCAAATTTATATAACTCAAATTACCTGTGTGCTTCTTATGTTGACTTTCTTTTAAGCCTGATAAAGTTACTAAATTCCAGTCCACATTCTTCTCTGGGTAAGAATCATTGTCTTCTAAACTCATGCGCACTGTTGAAGTTGTTAAATTGCAGTCCACATTGTTCTGCAGATAAGATTCATCATCATTTAAACTCATTCTCATTGTTGAAGTTGTTAAATCCCAGTCCACATCCTTTTCTGGGAAATAACTTTCTTTTAGATTTGTGTTCATTGTCGAACTTTCAAAAGTCACAGACCTCCTGCCCATACAACCAGGGAGTGGCTGTGGCACACAAGTTTCTTCCAGATTTTGGATTTTTGGGAGATGACAAAAGTAGCTTTCTTCAATGTCATTCACCTTTTCCCCATTATGTTCTCGTGTTGACTTGGTGGTGGAATACATTATGGTGTCATTGTGATTGACACCTTCTAATGTTTTTTTGTGTTGGTTTTTGTCTGATACAGTGCAGGTCACACTCTTCTTAAGGTAAGAATCCTGCAAGAGAAAACCTGGTTCTGTTGTCATGAACTTGTCGAGCTTATCTTCCTGTTCACTCTCCAATGAACAACTGAATTTACTGTGTCCTGGATTTTCAGCTTCTTCACAGTTAGAATGTATATCATTCTCCATCAAGTGTATCTTGCCAAAAACATGTGATTTATTTTCTTCTCTGGGACATATTTCCAGTACTCCTTCTTCATAGAAGTTCAGCTTCCTTGAACATTGAGGTGATATGTCATTTTTTTCAGAGTTGTTTTCTCGGAATACCAGGTTTTCAGCACAAGGAGAAGAGGTAGGTGTGACTCCTGCTCTTCTGTGGGAAGCTTTCTTGGAGGAAACAAGAGTGGCACTCACAGGAGGTGATTTATTGTCATTGTCTGTTAGATATGACATACAAGTGGGAGTCAGAGAGTAATCACATAGTACAGGTAATTGCACTGGTGTCTGAAGTTTTGAACCACTGGGTACCATGGACATATCATTTGTGCCTGCTGTGTTTCTACTATGATCAGCAAGTTCAATAGAATTAGTCTCTAGAATGTATTCTTTATCTCTGAGAGAGCCTTTCTTTGTAGCCTCAGTTCCATCCCACTTTGTTTCTGGACCTGGGGTTGGAATTAATTCAGTGTCCGTGCTACTGAAACACACAGTGACTGGCTGCATCAAATCAGCTGGACTTTTTAGATTTGCTGTGAAATCCCTGAATCTTCCTTCACATACACTTCCCCCTTCAGCTGTAAATAACCTGTTTCCAGTTTGTTCAACAAATCTGCTGTTCACATCGTAACCAGGACCAAATTTGGTCTCATCCACATAATGTTCTTCTTTGCTCTCATTGACACATTTGACAGGGGCTGAAACCTCAGATTTTTCAGCATGCCAGGAAACATCATTCTTTAAGAAAACTGAAGTTTTGTCAGAATATGTATGAGTGTTATGCTTTGTGTTTTGATTTGTCTTTCTTTTTTTAAGAAGTTTAGGAGACAGAAATAACTTGTATTTTTGTGTTACATCTGGGGTGCTTGAGTGCACTCTGCTTTGCTCATTTGATCTATTTTTGCTTGATCCATGGCCAAAATAGCCACTTGAATCCATTGTATGATGAAAGAAAAGGGATTCATCTTCAATTTTCTGCTGGGCTTTTTGCACCTGAAGCCGTATTTGATTCTGTGCTGATTCTTGTTCAAAGTTTTCCATTAAAGAGGCAGAGAATAAAAGGCCATGATCTGAAATCCCAGAAATGTTTAGGGTGCTCAGATACGCAATATGATCATCTAATGTTTTGTTTCTCTTTGGTTGGTTCCAGTGTATTGTCTGCAAGTGATACTGCGTAGAAGAGAATCTTGTATCCTCCACTGTAAATAATTGCTCTAGTTCTTGTTTGCTGAAGTATCGAATGGGATTCCTGTCTTCACCTATTGTCTGTCTAACCAGTGAGTTTTTGAAAATCTGCCTGCGGTATATTTTTTCCTCGATCGTCCCACAGGTGATCAGTCTGTAAACTACCACATCCTTCTCTTGTCCAATCCTGTATGCTCTGTCTACAGCCTGACTGTCTGTGGCAGGGTTCCACGATGGATCAACAATCACCACTCGATTGGCAGCCGTTAGATTGAACCCTAGTCCGCCTACTTGAGAGGTCAGCAAGAAAATGGAATACTCACTCCTGTTCTGAAAGGCAGTGATCAGGCAGTGACGCTGGTCAGCAGCAGTTAATGTTCCATCAACACGTAACATCTTAAATCCCCTTTCATTCAAAACTTGCTCAATAATGTCCAGCATCTTCCGAGACTCTGAGAAGACAAGGGTGCGATTACCCTCTTTCCTGAGCCTTTCAAGTAAAGCCACAAGAAACGTCATCTTTCCCGATTCTTCAATCAGTTCTTTACTTAACAGGTGGCAAGTTTTGTTCTCACAGAAGTCCTTCATAACATGTCCATTTGAAAGATCTGGCTTGCCCTCATCATCGCATTGCAGATCAGTGTATTCTTTGGCAGTAAACAGTCTAGGATGATCACAGATCTTCTTCATAGTGGCGAGGTCAGTTAATGCTGAATCATTGTAGCCTCTTAGAATTATTTGATTAATTAATTTTCTGTACAGTCTTTCTTGTAAGGGGCTAAGATGAACCCACATTACAAGATCATTCTTCTTGGTAAACTGGGCTATTTTGACAGTGTCTTTGTTAGGCTCTTTGCTTTCTCTCTGAATGTCTTCTTTTGTTCTCCTAAGGTAGTAGGGCTTTATCATTTCTGTCAAGCTCTCTGATGTTTTCAGGCCCAGTGCTTTCTCTGAGGGACTGGCATCCTTCTCCCTTCCTCTCATTATTGGATTCTCGTACAACTTTCGAAAGCTTCGGTAGGTACCAAGGAGACTTCCCTGGCAGGTGAGGTGGAACAAAGACCACAGCTCTTGGAGGTTGTTCTGCACAGGTGTACCAGTGAGCAGAATCCGAGTTTTTGCGGGAATTGAGAATGCTGCTTTAAAGGTTTTAGTAGTACTATTTCGGATCATGTGAGCTTCATCAAAAATGATACAGTCCCAGATAAACTGACTGTCTCTGTAAGTGGACAATGTCCTCTCACTGTTAATAAGCATTCTAAATGAAGTAAGAAGCACATGCCCTTTTCTCTGAACTTCCAGCACCCTGCCTTCTCTATCTTTGTATCTGGAATGAAAAATGTGGAATTTTATCCAAGGTGTCCATTTCCTCAACTCCGCACCCCAGTTCTCCAGGAGACTGTTAGGCATCACAAGCAGAACAGATCTCATCCTCTCCATTACTATCATACCTGACAGAAACGTAATAGTCTGGATAGTTTTTCCTAAACCCATATCATCAGCTATTATTGCACCTTTTTTATTTTCTTGATGCACTTTATAAAGGAAGACCAGTCCTTCTTTCTGATGCTCGTAGAGTTTGTCATGCAGCTCTTTATACAGCAAAAAACCACTGCTGAGGACATTGACACACCTGCCTCTTTCCTCTTCCAGTTGCTCTACTTTCTTCTTGCCCTCCATGGTGCGTGTCACATTAAGAAGACCCTATAGGTAAAAAATGTTACTGTAAGACATTTTATCAAACAGTGTAAGGGGCAGAGTGGAGAGTAGAGGCAGGATGTGGACCGGACTAAAAGGGATTGACTGTGTGAGGCATTTCCACTGCTACTTAGTTGAGTTAAACGTGCATTTAGGAGCAACTTCAGAGTAGGGAAGGAAGTTTAACATCCGGGTGGGTCCCTTGGACATTTAATACCATATTAGGGACGGTTTAGTGTGCAGACCCCCTTGCTACACTATGATCGAAGGGGGATCTATCACATAATGGTATAAATAGAATCAGGTGATAAAATACTTAGGTAGATCCTGGCAGAAGATCTTGGAAGGCTCCGTCCTATATAAAGTTCAGAAATGTTATGAGTTGGGTCTTCACCATACAGTTGTGTGCAAACAAGTCATGCCATTATCTAATGAAATTTCTGTCAACCTCAGAAAAACATATTGATGCTCTCCAAGAAAAAGTTGGAAAATCACCAAAGGCATTACAAAGAACCCCAGAGTAACATTCAAGGAACTGCAGACCCCTCTCACCTTGCCTAATGTGACTGTTCATGACTCAACTATTAGAATATGACAGAACAAGTATTTATGGAAGAATAACTGTTATGCTGCAGCCCATACTGGGAAATGCTGCAGCTGCAGTGCAGGTTGACAGGTCGAGACCCAAGTGCAAGACTTCAGGGATCTTCTGGAGATCCCAGATAGATGAGATGGTAGTGAGGCATTAAGTGGAGAGCAGTAGCCTAAAAATGGTAAAAGATCAATATTGGAGTACCGATCTAGTGGAGAATCCAGCCTTAATAGCCTGCGTAATTGGATGATTGACCAGTGGATTGACTGCCTAGTAGAAAGGTGGCCCAACCTTGTTCACATGGGGCTAGTCACAGTGAATGCTGTGGTGGGATGGTTCTCCCAGTCCGTGCATAGCAAAAGTCACTGCTCTCCAAAAGTCTGAAGTTTGCCAAAGAGCACATAAATGACCCACAATGGTTCTGGAACAATGTTATCTGGGCAGATGAGTCATAGGTAGAACTCTTTGACTTCAATGTGAAATGCTGTGTTAGGTGAAAACCAAACACTGCTTTCGAATAGAAGAACTTCATCCCAATTGTCAAGCATGGTGGTGAGAGTGAGATGGTTTGGGGCTGCTTTGCTGCCTTAGGACCTGGGTGGCTTGTTGCCATTGACAGAACCCTGAACTCTGCAATTGTATCAGAAAATTCTAGAAGGGAATGTCTGGTTAATGTTCATGACCTGAAGATTAACAGAAAATGAATCTCGCAAAACAATGATCCAAAACATACAACCAGATCTACAAAACATTTGCTGCAAAAAATGAAAACCCATGTTTTACAATGGCCAAGTCAAATTCCAGACCTAGACGTCCTCAAAATATTGTGGCAGGACCTGAAGCAACCCTCTAATGTCACAGAACTGAAGGAGTTCTATAAGGAGCAATGAGCCAAAGATCCAGAAAAAAAAATGATGTGGGAGACTAATCAATGGTTACAGGAAACATTTAGTTGCAGTCACTGCTACTCAAGCAGGAGTCACCTGTTATTGAATCAAAGGTTTTACATACTTTGTCACATGAATGTTGCATAATGTAAGGATAAGTGAAAGTTGAAAGTGATAAAAGTTTTGTATAATTTGTTTCATCAGGATAATTATATTACTGGGACTTGAATTAAAATCTAATAATCTTTTATGTTTCAAAATATGCAAAAATCCTTAGGGGGTTCATAAACATTTTCTTAGTACTGTAGAAAATTTACTGGGCCTCCAGAAACATAGTCAGAATCTCCCAGGGACTTTAATCAGGACATCCAGCACTTTAGTTTGAAGTAAGAAATGTTTGTCTTGACTGGCCAATTGCTGTAGTAAAACTTGCCTCACATAATGCATACAGTCTTCAAGGCTTCTGTTTAAATTCTGAAGTGTGCAAAGACTGAAAGATAAACCTGACAATTTAGGTTTAGGTGGAGAAAAAAGTCTTACTAAACCAGATTGTTCCAATAATAAAGGAGGCACAAAATATGTGCCTCAAAACTCTCTAATGACTTTCTGAATGCTAGTTTGCTCATTTCAGAATATCATAGAGAAACTCCAGTGATGACTTGTATGGAGAAGGCAACAAGAGTTTCTAAAGTATGATGCAATACCTTTAAAGGGTTAATAAACAAGTAATCCTGAAAACATGAGGTTTCCTAGGTATTTTTTGGGTAAATATTCTCTCCAGCACTATGAAACTGACATCAAGAGATTTTACGTTGAATAGTTACAAAAGAGGATGGTACAGTGGCGCACTGGTTAGCTTTGCTGCCTCATAGTGCTCTGCTCCCGGGTTCTTTCCTATCTGAATGTACAGTATGTTCGTGTGGCTTTCCTCCAGGTGCTCTGATTTCCTCCCACAGTTCAATGACATGCTGGTAGGTTAATGGGCTTCTAGGAAAATTGGCCCTCATGTGAGTGAGTGTGTATTTGTGTTTGTGTCTGTGTGTCTGCCCTGCGAGAGACTGGCATCTTGTCCAGGGTGTACCCTGCCTTGTGCCCGTTACTTCCTTGCTCCAGCTCCCCCACAGCCCTGAACTGCAAGAAGCAGTTACAAAATGGACAAACGGGGGAGATCATTCTGATTAATTCTGTCATATGATTACACAGACCTGAAGATAGATCAATATAATTGCAGGCAAAGGAATCTTCCTTCAAGAATCGAAACAGTTAAAATAGTGAAGCACAGAAGATACATTTACTGTACATCCATCGTATTAACACACCTCAGCTGGAGATCAGCTCTTCCGGAGATCTCTGGGATCAGATGATATCTGGCTTCCAGGCACTGTAGCTGTAAGTTAAATAAAACACTGTTAAATACTGCAAAATAATACTAAATTATGACCCATGCAATGCATTCACAACACATTACATTTATTGTCTGTAAAATTAATTGAACAGGAAAAACATGCTTAAGTGCCTATGGAACCTAGAAAAAACATGAGTGAAACGTTTCTAGGTAATAAAACTTTTTTATTCTATATGAATAACTATGTCCCTGTGTAACAGAGGACAGTGGCAATCAGAAGTGATGTCAGCCTCATCAAATCTAGACAGTGTAGAGATCTCCTGTAGAAAGAGAGCTGGTCTTTTGGAGTAGAGGACTTTCCTGCTGTGCTGTGCTGCTCTGAGCATGCACGCGACTGTGAACGAATACCTGCAGGAGCAGAGTTGAACTGCACCCATCACACCTCACAGTGTTGGGAGATATTCTACATTTCCTGGAAATCCAACAGCGGCTACTGTACATCTCCTGTTTCCCTGTTTTTTCCCCAATGGCACAAACAGCAGAGGGAATGTGTTGGTCTTAAGGCTCTATCCACATCTGTGAAGAGGAATTAGAGCCCGAGGGAATGTACTGTATAACATTTGCTGGGCCTCTGGAAATTTGGTAATGAGCCCCACCTCACACAATACACTCAGTCTTCAGGGCTTCAGTTTAAATTTAGAAGAGAATTACTGTATGACTATCAGATAAATCTGAAAATTGCATTCCAAGTGTAGAAAAGAGCTTTACAAAATCAGATTTATCTAATGCTAAAGAAATTCAACAAGGGACATTGAAATGTGCCTCAAAGCTCTCCATGACTCCTTGCACGGCTACTGGTTTGCTAATCCTTAAATATCATACAGGAACTCCAATGATGCCTGAAATTTAGTTTTCTTCTTTTACCGGTCTTGTTCAAACAATGTAGACAAATATAAAAAAGAATGTGTTTATTCATAAAAATACTGACCAACTGCAAATGGAAAAGAACTTTGAGCAGTGTGAGTTCTTTATTTGGAAACAAGAAATATAAGTAACCAAAATACTATGCAGTGCCTTTGGGGAGCTGAAATACAAGTGATCCGCAAAATAGTTTACTTTCCTAAATATAGTTGTTGGGTGAGTATTATTTTCAGCACTATTGAACTGGCATCAAGAGATTTTCATTCTCCACTTGAATGCTGTCATCTGACTACAAGACTCCAAACTCAAAAGCAAAAAAATAGCTGTGTATCATTATATGCATTTTGTTATCTTAATTAGTCTGCTCCTGTAACTCCTTAACCAGTTTGCTCCTTTAATTAACTACCACAATGAGGTTGGTGTTTAAATGATTTTACAACTGTGAAAAGGAATCTCTGTCCAAGAATCTTAACAGTGAAAAAGTGAAGTATAGAAGGCAGTGCTCTTAAAACCATTATACTTACACACCTCAGAGGATGATCTGGAGATCAGATGTTTTGGAATGATCCTGTGTTCCTTAGTCCCTGGGATCAGATGAGATCTGACTTCCAGGCACTGTTACTGTAAGTATAATAAAACACTGTTAAACATTGCAATACAATAATTAATTACAGCCCTGTGTCATGTAGTCACAACACCAAAACTGTTAGGACATCTATTGACTTCAAACATGTAGGGATTGTGATTCAGTACATCCATCCATTTTTGAAACCCTTTTATCCCACACAGGGTAACAAATCGGAGCCCAACCCAGCAAGCCACCTTGAATGGGATGTCAGTCCATCGTAGGGCACACACAGACACAAACACACACAGTTATACTAGGGGCTATTTTCCCAGAAGCTGATTAACCTACTAATATGTCTTTGGACCATGAGAGGAAACCCACACAAACTCCATAGAGATACCATCCCATTAATCGAACCTAGAACCACAGTGATGTGAGGCAGCAATGCTAACAACTGTGCTGATGTCAATTCAGTATCTTAAAAATAAAATATATGTATTTTTTATTTAACTTAAGAGAGCTCTACAGTATATGCATCATGCAGTAGTGTATTCTTTACTTCCACCATTTTATTTTCACTTTAAAACAGGCTCACATGAATTTGCATAGCAGACAAAAAATTATTTGTTGAACCTGCTGCTTTTTTGTCTTTTTTCATAGCAACAGTCT